CAAGATTTGTGGTCTCCACTCTCAATAATTATTTTGGTCCTCATTTATTATGAGAGTCAAATATAAAAATGTTAAGTGTTACGAGACTATTATTAGACCAAGTTTTATTAGAAAAATCTGAAAAAAAAATGCCTTTTAGTATAGGGGTGCCTTGGATCCCATACAATGATGCTGAGTTTGGAAAGGTACAATCCGAGGGACCGGCGGGTACGATGTAAAAAAAAATATTCTTTTTAAGATTTTATTAAAAAAATATATCATAGTTATTTACTTAATAAACGTTAATTCAAATACAAATTGTTGCTACTAATAAAAGTCTCTTCGATCAACAATACTTGTATTTTGTAAAATTTGTCTGTTCCTTTATCTTAATTTCCTTTTATCTGTATATTCTATTCAGCTCCAAATCTTTCCTAATTCTATTATTGTCCTATATGCCATTTTTTTAAATAATTTACGTGATTTTCGACGAAATTTTCATTATATGTTCAACACGTGGCCGACTCTAAGATCGAGCACTTGAAGAATTGGATGATCTAGAGACGCCACACACACAATACATCTTTCATTGCAACTTTATTTCGCATCAAATTACTCGTTAATTATTAGCATATATGTGTGGGTAAAGCTAGCATTATTACCGAACATAAGAACGAAGCAGTACAATTCTAAATATGGTTACAAAATCAACTCATTATTAGAATGTATGGATTGAAAACCATCCTCAATTTCATCCATAAGTTTCCAAGTACCATCTGATTGTTGAACCATACCCTTGTTCTCGTGCACCCTCCATGCCACAGGAACAAGATATTCATCTTTCAGAGCATCCATGCTCTTGTTGACAAGTGCAATGTCACGATTCACCTCCAAATTGAACCCTCCCTTTTTCCCTTGCGTTCCAGCCACTCCATGCAAGTACGCCTCCAAGTTATGCGCATTCACGTCATCCTTCAAGTACTTGGACTTTGTAGTATCGATGACTAGTTCCTCGCCCACATCGGAAAAGCCTAGAAAGAGACTAACTGGGACAATATCCGTTTCATTACGAACACGCAGTGCTCGCAGATCTTTGTAGCCATTGAAGGCGTCCTCAAAGCTAGAGTCTCCTACACGAGGACTCGCGTATGCAAATGCTGTGACGGGACACGCTTTCTGAGGTTGGTCTTTTGGTTTGTTCAACCCTCGGGCAGCTATGTCCACTGCATTTAAAGTTGCAAGTGCAGCACCCAAGCTGTGTCCTGTCACACTTATTCTAATTTCTTCATTCTTGTGTTCCTCCACCAGTCTTCCAACCTCGTCAAGGACCTGCATAATTTTCTTCATACAAATTCTTGAAAGAGAAATTTGAAACTTTATTATGTAACATGTTCATATAGTACACAACATGCTCTCCTTGAATTAGTTAGTAATTAAATGTTTGTTGCTGAAATATTGAGATTTATGTGTGAGGTGGATGTTCTGTAAATATATATTTTGCTTAAAATGTTACCTGGTTTCTAGCACTGGTATTAGTGAATTTTGAACCTGGGTTTTTGGAGGTGTAAATAGAGTAAAAACCATGGTGCACTTGAGCAGAAGCACCATCACCAAAAATCTCAGGCGCAGTATCCAAATGGAAATGAAAATCCTTAACCCATTCCGCAGCCTGAATGGTTCCTCTCCAAGCAACCACAATATCTCTCCTCCCCAATGCTTCTTTCCCTTCATCGGTGGCAACAGCAACATACCCGATCCAGTTCGATTGCATGCTCCAAGCATCCTTCGAAAACGACCTCAAGAGAAACGCCTCAGAGTCGCTGAACTTGGAAGTTGCGTACAGAAACTTGGTCACCAAATACTTGAAAGGGGTCCCTTTTTCCAAACCAACTTTGGCGAAGAAATCCCTCCTAGAATATCGACTGTTACCAGCAAACTTTGATGCTTTTTCCGAGTTGAAAGCATCGTATGTAGCTTGAGCAAGTTCTCCGTAGTGTATTATGTAACGCCGAAGATCAATGTCTAGAGGGTCTAGCAGACCTTTCCAATGGCTTCTCCCACTAAGATCTCTCCATTTTCTTGCAATGCTACCCATGGAGCTTCATCAATTCAAACCTATCAAAAACTGTGATGGATAAGCTTGTTTCAAGCTCTATATATAATGACTCCATGCATGCCTAAAAGAATCCTCTTTAAAAAATATGACCTTTTTTTATTTTCGTCTTCGTAATGTTTACTTCCTTAGTTCTTTTTAATTATAAATTGAGAAGGGAAAACCCTTTATCTACCAAACATTCACTATACAACCTAATTTAATGATATAATAATAATAAACATAAAAAATTAAATATGTATTATTATTATATTAAAATAGATGTTTAAAGTTTAAGATAACATTAATTATTTTTTTAATTATATATTTTTTTATCTAATTTTAATTATTTATTTTGTACTTATTAAGGAAAAATGAAAAACATAAAATAAGAAATGTCATAAATATTTTATTAATGAAAAGAAAAATTAGGTTTTACGTAAAGTTTGAAAAACAATATAGAGCATCATTTGATTAGTGTTTTTTCGAATTTTATGTTAAAATAAATTTATATTTTTGAAATAATTGATATAAAATTAATTTATACAGTGGTTGGGTGTTTTATGAAATAGATGTGTAAACGCATTGGTTGTGGTGTTGGTGAGCATAGCTCTAATGGACTTGGTCTTGTCTTAAATGATGGTCTTGATCTTATTCAGAACGCACCACTTGTGGAGCTGGTAAGGATTTGCCCCTAATGGAGATAGTCTTTTCTTAAATTATGGTTTTCATCTAAATATCTTATTCATATATGTTAAATAGGCTATTTTGCATTGAAACATTGTAAATAAGTATATTTTAAAAAGTTAATTATACTTTGGTAAAAAATTATATGTTAATAGGTGTAATGAGATTATATAAATATATAAAAAAAATTAAAGTTAAATATAATTTCATCAATATTTTTTTTAATTAATAATTATTATTGAATTTTATTGTCCATGTTTGTTTTTGGAGGTCAAATTTAGACAAAATATATGAATTTTTGGAAAAAAAAATTCATCGGAAAAAACAACAATTACACAAGTTCAATCTAAACAAGGTATTAATATCACTTTTAATTTAAAATTTTAAGATATTATTCAATCGTAGACTTAATTTAAATTTCCCAACAATATTAATATTATGTAAAAAATATTAATATTAAACTTACATATATAAAATATAATATAGTTTACTATCATTAAAATAAACTTAAAAAAAAAAACTAAAATAATATTTTGAACAGAGTATATAAAAATCTTACTTGATTTTAATTTAATGTTTTCATTTTTTAAAATATTAGAAATTAATTTTGAATAACTATTTTTAAAATCAGTTTAAAAAAATTGTGTAATAACTTTAATTTAAAAATATTTTAATAACTCTTGATATTTTTTACTTTGTCTTTTTTAATACATTTCCCTCATTTTATGGATGACTCACTTTTTGATATTCTTTCATCGATTTTCTTAGACATGATTCCATCATTTTTAGCTTTAACAAACACTGTACTTATTCTTACTATGATAAATCTTTTTAAAAGAATTGATAATCTTTAAAATAATCATTTTTTAAGTTAATCATTATTTAGAACTGAAGATACAATATATTTTTTTATAAATGAACAACTCTTTTATTTTTATTTTTTAAAATATGATATCTTTAATATCTAAAAACAATCTTTAATTTAATTCCTTATATCTTGCATAATATTATATTTTAACCAAATATATACACTACTTATCCAATTTTATGACTTATAAATTATTCTCGCTAGAAAATAATAAAAATTACAAAATTTATGACTTATAAATTATTCTGGATAAAAAAAAATTAAAATTAGAATATAAAATAAGATCGCACATATGGATTTTTGTGTTTTTAGAATCGAGTTTTGTTTTATACCGAAAAAATATTCCTAAGTTAGTATGTAAATATAAATATTATAATCTAAAAAAGAGTATTAATATGTTTGTAAAAAAAAATTCTAATTTGTAGATTTTTTTATCCATATTATTTTAAATAATAATTTATATCAGATTAATGCTAATTATTATATTTTTAATATAATATTATTTATAATAATTTCAATCATTATTTAAAATATAATATTAATTAAATATTAAAAAAATTAATCATTTAACATTTACCGTAATATAATAATTTAAATCTCTATTTTAAGTTAAATAATATTAAAACTATAAAATATAATGAATAGTCATAGTTGACTAAATATTAAAAAAACTGTTAAAATAAATAAAAATACAGACTATAATTAAAAAAAAAATAAACCTAGAAAAATTAAGTATGAATGACAAAGATAAAAAATAAATAAATTGTTATGAATAATAAACTAAATCGTAATTATATATAAAGTGGATTTCTCTCTTTCCCATACTCTTCCTCTCTTCTGTGTAATACTTAGATTTAAAAGTAAACTACAATAATAAAAATATTTTATGAACTTAACTATGCTTTTAGATTTTGAAAATTAAGATCAATTTATACATTGAATTCGAAGCTTCATTTTGTTATATAGCATTAAACCATTATTTTATATCAATATTATTTTAAGTATATTTTTGTATTTATAATAGTATAATTAATTAATTTTATTTATATAATTAACTTCATAATATCTACATCTTCATAATATTTATAGTAGTATATTTATTTAATTAAATATATGTAATTTATAATTATATTAACATAAATTCTTTATCTACTGATATGATTTATTTCAAATAGTGGGAAGATATAGACCTATTATTTTATATAAAAAAAATTTCTGAGTGTATGATATATATATATATATATATATATATATATATATATATATATATATATATATATAACTATTTTTTATACTTTATCTAAATAATCATAGTTGATTTCGTTTGGGTAACTCAAAAATAATACTTCGTCCAAGTAATCCATACACGATATTTCATTTGAATTTCCTGAACATACTTGTTTGTTAAATAATATAACTGATTAATAAATAATATAACTATGTAAATTTCATTATTTAATGTGCTTGTCTGTGTTATATTCAATTATAATTATGTCTAATATTAGTTTGTTTTTATTTTTATTTTTTACCTGAAAAAAATAAAATACATACTATTCGAATTGAACCTGTGTTTATGCACGTGTTTACATACTATTAAAGTTACAACTCTATCATTCCTTGATAATTAGTCTTCTACCTTATTTCTGATTTTAAAAATGAAACATAATTTTTATCATTGCTCAATAATCTCTTTTTTAAAATTCATAATCATATTGAATCTTTCTTGCCCAACCCAACTCAAACTTTCTCTCTCTCTTACAAGATAATTAAGGCATCAGTATGCATGTGTTGGAATACATTGATTTTTTTTTTATTTGAAAATAAAATGAAGGTTTAATTTCTTCATCAACATCTTTAAAAACTTCAAATAATATATCTTTGATAATTTTGGTCAAATAAGATATAAAAATGAAAGGCAAAATAAATTAATTTATCTCATTTTAATCTATCTCACCTATAATCCACAAAAATCGGATCAAATGAATTAGTTCACCATAATAAAATATATTATAAATTTCAAATTATCTCATTAGAATTGATAGCTTGAAGAGACTAACAAATCAATCTACCAATATATTTTTTATATACATTTAAAAAAAATACTTATTTAATTATATAAATATTTTTTAATTTTTATTCATTAATTAATACTTTTATTAAATAAATTCAAAAAAATTATTTAATTAATAATTATTTAAATTATAATATTATAAAATATAATATTTTTAATTATTATTTTTTTAAAGCTTGTTAATCTATCATCTCCGGATCTTGATCAGGAAAATTAATAGATTAAATAAAATAAACCAAAACAAGCATATTCCATCTATTTAATATGGATTAGTAGACCGATCCATAAAAGCAACTTCAACTGGAGTAAAAAGGTAAATTTAATCAAGATGCAGTAGACAAATGATAGTTGTTCTAAGTTAAAGCATCTTGAATTTGCACGATCTAACAAATAAAGACATTATGCTTAAAACAATGTTGCCAAAAAGACCAAAATGCAGTCACGGTAAAGGGATCGATCAACCAGGATTCCCAACCCTGCAAAGTGATATAAAACAGAATAAAATAACTACATCCTTCATTAATGTACAAATACTTCCACAAAATTGGAATGATAAATGATTTTTTTATTATTATTATTTAAGTTGAGAGCTATAGGATAATTCAACTTCAATACGTAACTAACCCAACTCCCCCATAAATACTACTGTGAACCTAGGCTAAAAACATCGATTAATAAGGTCTAAATTTCCTGGCAGCTCTCATTTGGTGCAGACGTTTTTTATCCTCCTCAAATTTGCTCTGCAGTGCCATGATCTCTGCAAACAAAACAAATATGGTTTATATCAGTTTGACCACTAAGAAAAATAATCAAAATCGATTTAGAGAGTTCCTGTGTTTTAATTTACAACAACTAGAGCTAAGAAACAACATGAGGAGTAAAGTGGGTTTAAAATCTAGAACACAACAGCAGTTATGATAAAATATATGGTGTAAAGCATGAGACTTCATCATAAAATCAAATAATTCCTCAAGTAAGTCCAACCCACGGGCAACAAGACATTCATTTCATCATCCAGAAACAGAATTTGCTAGTGTTTAGAGAAACAGGATTTCAGTTGTGAATCTTGAGAACAACAAAAGTTAGGGAAAGTCAAATAAATATTCAGGCACGGGAATAAAAAACGAAAAACATTACGGTTTACATTTTTTATGTATTAATGAATTCATTAGAAACAGAAGAAAAGCAAATGGCATCAGCCTGTACAATTTTTTTCCAATCTTTGATAGAAATCTTCCAAATAGCTGACATTTGTTTTGTGACACGATGAAAGCAACTTCTAAGTCAATTTCAAAAAACGAAACAATACCATTTCTCTGTGCTTCTCTTTTTTGAAATCGGTAGAAATCTAGACCAACTTCTTTACGTTTCTTTTTGGTCATTTTATTCTCCACAGCTGCTTGAGCAACCGAACCCACAGCAATTCCAGTTTCAGAATCGGTAGTTTTCTTTCGACCTTTATGGTGTACAACAACCGTCCACCCCCTTCTGCAGCAAGGGCTTCTTTTTCTTTTCTTTCCTGCATTAATAAATAAATCATTATATGTAAAAGCTCAAACATTTAAGGATTTCAAAAAGATGCTTATTTGATGTAATGGGACAATAGTCACATTAACATATAACCCATTTTAGTCACATACTGCAAATGCAATTCAAATCCAACAGAGTGCCCCCTCCTCAAAATGACGCCAGTGTTCTATCACAACAAAACCTCAAAATTCGATTTAGTGTCCTTTTCAAATGATTTTCCTAAGTTTTTATTGGTTCCTCTCTATCTCTAACTATAGGGCCTATCATGCATCTGACCAACTCTCCTTACTGGAACTTCTATTGTTTTCTCCCACAGTCAAACCAATTTTAGCAATACTAACATTTTATCATGCATCTGACCCTTGCTTTCTACCTAATCTATTCATTATTGATTATGCCTAATATTTTATGGCCACTTATTCATCACAGCCATAGCATCCTCATGTTTGCAACAACACTAACATGGACTTCTCTTGTTGACTCTTTACCATTCACTCAACATATAATACTAAACAATATCACAAGATCTTGTTTTGTGCAGTAAAATTTTCATTAAGCTTTAGAAGCATTATTTTATTCACAAATAACCCTCTGTTTCAAAATAAGATATTTAAGGTTGGGCTACACAGACCAATATAAATATTAATTTTCATTATTTCAATAAATTTGTTAGTTTTTTTTTTTTTCATTAATACTCTTATCATCTTAATATTATCTCTCCATCCAAAATCACTCTTAATAACTTTATTATCTTCTCTCGCTACAATATATATAATTAAAAAGACAAAAGTATAATTGGTAAAAGAGTAATTAATGCAATCTTAAACTTTGTAAATGATATATATTTAGAAACAATTTTTTCTCAGCAAAACGTGATATATTTTAAAACAGAGAAAGTAATAACTAAGACACTTCGTCATATCATTCACCCCAACTTCATGTTCAATTATCTTGTAGATCCAAGATACTTTGAGACTTGTGGAATTGAATGGTCCCCAATTTTCACCTCTAAACTAGAATTAGTGTTACATCCAACATGCTTCATTTTGTTCATGCTTAATCAGAAATGTGCATCCAAAGGTTTTCTCCACTACACTAGTTACCATTAATTGATCTCCATTTGCATACTATTATTAAACTATTTGTAAAAAGAATACTGTAGGGATATCAATGGCTTAATCAGATTTGTTGTTACTATAAATTGAGCATTAGCTCTTTTACAAGGATCCTTCCGCAAAGAGTCAATGCTCATTTACAATAATAACAAATCTGAATCTCTCCTATCCTTCCCCCATTTTATAAATTATATCTAATTAACCCCTCTAACAAACTAACTAACCCATTGATATTCTATCTTTAAAAACTTCTCGTTCTCCTAATATCCTAACAAATACATTGTAGCATTAACTATGGAATATGTTCAGTAAGCATATCCAAAAACAAGATAAAAGGATAAAGACTCAAAGTAGACCCTTGGTGTAAACCTATAGTTATAAGGAAATCCTCAATTACCCCACTATATGGTAACCCCCAGCATAAATAAGTTTGATTACTTGCTTATAAGAAATACAAACTCTTTTCTTCTCTACGGCTAGACTTCTCTTAGCATGAAAGGCCTTTTTCAATTCATCAAAACCAAAGGTCTTCCTATTTGTTTCTTTCGGTATGTATCCAATAATACTCTTAAAAGGTATATTATTTCCACAGTTGACCTATCTAGCATAATACCAAATTAATTTTCTGAAATCTAAGAGTCTTGTTTATCCTTTCAACTATCCTATTGCAATTTTTATCGATTCAACCAGGACTAGAACTCAAAAATTCTATTCTTTAAATTATTCATATGAACTTTTATTCTTCATATGCCTTTAAAGTTGCAAGTTGGGAGAACTACAACAAATCATCTTTGAGTAAACTCCACAAAGTACAAATGGGAATAACTCAGTATCTTAACACCCTTCTAGGACCAGATACCATTCTCAAAAAATACAAGCTGCATAAAGTGAAAACATCACCCAGTACACAACACATGGAGGCAACACAACAGTAAAAAAGAGACAACTATAACTGGGATTGATATGTTAAAGCCCTTTTGGGAAATGAAGGACTTATAGTTATTTTTCAAAGGCATGGAATGAAGCTCCAATTGAATAAGATATTAGGAAACATCAATATTATATCACATAAACAAAAATCATGCCCAAAGGAAAACGTTCACTGACACTTCCATTTAGCAACAAAACAGCATAAATAACCAAAATTTAAAGAAATGGTTTTATGTAACAACATGAGCATCCAAATTGGTTCGTGAATTTGCCTGAAGAAAAAGGTCTATCTAATGAAGCGGCAGTTAATATGACAAGAGTGTCTAATCATTCTGTTATCATTTTATGCATGTTTGTCAAAACATTTACCTCTTCCAGTTTCTCTTCATGAGCAGTTATAAATTCATCAATTTGGTGTTGCAATGCATCCAATCCTGGTCTGTTGTGATGGTATTCCATGATCCATTCTGTAATTTGAGAGGTACCCAGTCAGAAACTATACTAGATACAATCATTAATAGTAAATAGGTTACAAATATAGACAAAATATGAAGGTGCATGCATCATTCAGCTAACAGATTGAAAGAATAATGTTAAAAGACACCTCTAAATTTTCACACATAGAAGATAGCGTTGGGTGATGGCAAATGATGAGAGATATACAGATGAAAATTAAATTAACATAAAAATCCGGAAATATGGCAATTACTATAACAAATAGAACCAAAATACATTTAAATGGACTTGCAACACAATACAGTAACTATGACATCATTTTTGACATTACAAAATATATGCTCATCATACTTTTCATTCCTTTAGAGCAGTCATCATCTCCAGAGGAAATTGTATAAACTTCCTCCTGCTTGTTGTTCCCTTCTCCCTTTTCCAGGGAATTTTGAAACTCCTTTTTCCGTTTTTTCTTATCTTTCTTTGACCTACCTACAAGATTGACAAAAATTTCATGAGGGGTACAAATGTATAAATTCAAACATTACATTAAAACAAAAGAATTAAAATAGAAAATGTATTTTATTACAGGGTTTGATAACTGCCCCAGTATCAGAATCTCTATGCCCATGAAAGTCTTGGATCTCCTCAGCATTAGAATGACAATGGTCTACTACTCCATCTGTTACCATTTCAACAAAGATGTTGAACATGACCAGGGTGACATAGTTAACTTAAGTTTTATAAAAAGATGTTTACACTAGATGCCAGAACCGGGTTAACAATGCCAGCAAAAGAAAATTAACACAATATAGTATTATAGAAGTATGAGCAGTTGTTCGATGACTACTAAAACTAAAATATATTCTTGTTCAGATTCCGACACAAACCCAGATCCCAAACATAACTTCCAACTCACCACTTTTCTCGTCCAAATCAACTTCTTCCTTTGGTTTTGGTTTTGGTTTCCTAGCTAGACTTTTGTCCTTGTTCTTCCCTTTTTGTTTATAGAAGCCTTCTCCTTTGCGTCACTAGCATGTATTCCATTGTCCACTGAAACAAACACTGTACATCAGATACAGATGAACAAAAAGGTGATGATTATGAAAACAACGCGCATTTACCTTCAACGCTCTCCACAGTAGCATGCGTCTCAACTTCAGCATTTTGTTTCCTGTTCCTTTTCCTCTTCTTTTCCTTAGTATGTGCGTCACTTTTAGCCTTCTTTACCTTCATGACAATTAATACTCACCCTGTGAATCAACAATATTATGGTTAATCCGTAAACTATGAATCCAGTATGCAGGTTTTTGTTATTGATTGATAAATAAATGCAGTACCTTAGGGATGTAAAGGTAGTTGGATTGAGAAAGAATGTGGAAGCAGAGGTTTGGGCGGGAAGAGTAACTGGGGGTTGTTGTTGGGGCCGACTAGGGCAATTGGGACATTGGAACAATGAATCAGGACGAAGAATCCTTATTCTTTCACTCAATATTTATTTATATAACCAAATTTCTAACAAATAAATATATTTTCATATATAATTAAATGTATTATAATTCCAATTTGTAACAATAAATACTTTTAAATGTATATACATTATATTTTTTAGATTTATAACAAATAACCAATATTATGATATAAGAATATTTATAATTGTTGATAATCTTTTTGAAAAATATTCAAATTTCATTTAAAAATAAAAATGAAATATTAAAAAAAAAAAAGTTAGATATCCCTGTTAAACAAACTTATATAAGACACTTGATTATGAATAGACTTTGGATTTTGATTAAATTCATTGGAAGATTTTCATTTAATTTATTATAAATTATAAAATTACTGTTTAATTAGTGGATTATTGATTCATCTAGTAACCTACTCTGCATTAGTGATTGTCAATCAAATGGCTTTACCATTCCAAAAGGAGGAATCGGCCATACCAAAATGCTGTGTCAACTTGAACACCAAATCCTCTCTCACGGGTATGAGGCATTCAAGTTGATAGTTACATTATTAAAACAACATTGCTTTAACTGTCTAAACTCTAGTTTGGCTCTGGAGGAAGATACCAATGTTGATATCAATGTTAATATCAATGCTATAAACGGAAGGTAAGGGATTGAATTTGAACAAATATAAAATCAATTACAAGACCAAAGTTTATCTGACAAACAAAACAGGGAGGGACCAACATTTAACTACGCTTCACTTAAATTTGGAACGTTGAAATACCAACCTGCTACGGCAGAGATGACTTGAATAGGAAGGGAGGGCGGCGTTCACGGCGGCAGCGTGAATGCGTCTTCACATGCGGGGGCGCAAGGGAGGCAGGACGGGTCGCGAGGGAGACAGGACGAGGAGATGGCAGGAGGAGCGTGAGGAATGAGATGAGAGGGAGGCACCGTGGGCGTGGGTGGTGTACGCAATTCGCAGGCAGAGAAAAATGAGATGAGATCTTTACGAGTGATCAAGTTAGGGTTTTAGGAAATTAAGGGAATTACGAGTTATTACATAAACCCCAATATATCCTTTGAACTTATTTCTTTACCCGTATGAAATAATGAAAAGAACGGGAGAGACAATTTAGCACGATATATCAAATTCAAATTATGGAACAGATCGGGCCCATGGGGGTGGGTTTTTTGTCACAACTTTCTTAATTATCTTAGTGTTTTATAAATGTTAGAAAAATTAAGTTTTACTATTCGTTTTTATTAAATTTTTTCTATCTTAATCTGTTTCTGTTTTATATTATTATTTTAAAATAATTATATCTACAATAAATTAAATTTAATTTTTTTATCTTATTTTTATAATTAATAAATATTTATAATTTTATAACATTTAAATATTATTATTCATTAAATATATTTTTTAATTTATTACATTTATATTAATATATATATATAACAAATATTTAATATTTTTCTTTATATAAATATAAAATATTTATGACATTATTATTATTTTTTAAATTATCATTTTAAAATGCTAATAAATATTAGTTAGTATAAAATAATAAAAGTTTTAATAATTAATGTTTATTAATTTTTTAAAATATAATTATTTAATTAAGATAAAATTTAATAAATTAAATCTAGAAAATATAATAACAAATCTTAATAAAGATAAATTAAAAATAAAATTATAGTAAGTATGATGAGATTGATAAAGAATATTTAAAAAAGATAAAAAAATAAATTTGTATTTATATTATTAAAAAGATTGAAAAAATTAAATTGATTAAAAAAAATTTAAGATATTTTATCTGTAGAAATTTTTATTCTCTTACACATTTGTTCAACCTATTTAGGGACGGGTTGACCTTATTCAATATATGAAAAATACTAATAATGAGACATGATTCTCACACCTTTATTTTGTTTTCTTGTTCCTTCTCCACCACTGATTGTTCCTTCTCCACAACTGGTTGTTCCCTTTCCTCCATTAGGTCTCTACGCGCACCTTTTCATAGTGTTTTTGGTGGAATTTTGATCGATTTCGATTTTTAACGGATTTTGTTCTAACCAAATTCCAACCACGTAAATTCTTTTTACTTAGGCTAGCAAACGATTTTCAATCGAAATGTGTATGAGGATCGAAAATCATGATGTTTGAAAATACTAACAACGCAACCTAATGTGCAGATTAATAATCGAAAATGCTGTTTTTTTTTGGGATTTTGTATTTAAAGCACTCGAAGTAAAGAAAACAGTAAAATGTCAAATCGAAGAGCAATACAAAATATAAAGCTGCGAAGAGATATAAAATACGGAAACCTTAAATTTGCATTAAATGTAAACGACAAAGAATCGAAATTGCGGGAATGTAAATGGCAGGAAATCGAGATTGCATAAATGTAAATAGCAGGAAATTGAGATTGCATAAATGTAAATAGCAGGAAATCGAGATTGCATAAAGTGTAAACAGCGAAAAACTTAGATGCATAATCTTAAATAGTCAGATAACAAGGAATCGAAAGTACATGAACTTAAAGTTGTTTGAACATAAACTGCATCAAAGTAAATAACATGAACATAAATTACCAGGGAAAGTAAAGAAAGCGATAAAGGCAGTCAATGAAAATGAGATCGCCAGAAACTTCATGATTGTGTCGTTCTCCTGTAGACTTCTCACTAGTATTTCTGTTCTCTCTGCCAATTCCCCTCTCCTTTTCAGTCTTCGCTCTATTTATAGAGCATCTTTGAAGTAACCTCCCAAGAGTGGTTAATACCACTATCCCCACGATCCTACGTACCCGTTCCTTTAGTTTTACAGTTTTAGAAACTGCACTCCACGTTCTTACGTATAAGAGAACTGCTCCTCCTTCGATCTTTGTTGCGGTTTAGAAACTGTTTCCCACGTTCCCTATGTGTGTTAACTGCTCCCTCGATCTCGATTTCGGACATCGAGTATCTTAAATTTTGCTTTTGATTCCCTTTAATTTTGTACTATTCTAACTTCAACAATAGGCATCGAAATTTGTTTCTTCGATTCTCGATTTTGATTCTCGATGTACTTTCATCTTCGTGGTTACCGGCTTTTACCAATTTCATCGAAAATACGTTCTCGATGTCTTTTACCAATCGTATGGTCTTTGATTTTTCCTTTCCTTCATTTTTTCGATCCCTTAATCGATTTCCCTTTAACAGAATGCCCCCTTGGAAGAATATAAAAGTTTGTATTTATATTCTTTCAACATCATTCCCGCCTTTTGGAGGCCCATCAGAACTTAGGGTTTAGGGTTGCTTGGGGTTTTAGGGTTCTTTCCACTTTATGTCACCTATCATGTCGGTTCTGCCGCCTCACTGCACACGCCACATTAATTATCATTCACCTCCGTCGCTTCCAATATCCTAGAAAGTTTCCTTTAAACATTTGTTAACATTTTTACCCTTGTTTTTCACTACGCACTTCATTTACTCCTCCTTTGCATCTTCGTCTTCTCCCTGCACCTTCGTCTTCTACCTTTGTCCTCATCTCGCTCTACCGATTACTTGGAATGACAACCTCATCCAAATCCTCGACCTTTCCACCCCACCACTTCCTTCGGTGGCCACCAACCTATTGGAGATCAATAACCAGAAATTCGCTCCAGTTCCTCGATGGAGGAAGCTTCTCGAGAAAATCGGCGAGACGCAGGTACTCATTCCCTATACTGTCGATAATATTAATTACGCTTTCGGAGGTCCTATCCGCTATTGTGGCGGATCATTTTCTTCTTCTCTCGGCCTTCCTTCGGAGAGTAAAGTTCTTGTCCATCGGCCTGAGGTTCGAATAGATTTTCCGCACATTGCGTCCAAGGCATATCGAACGGGCCCACCTCACAAAAAACCCTCGTACATGAAATGGTTTGATCGAATTAAGGCTAAGTTTGGGAACCATTGGAGGGCTGTAGGAATTTTCGATTTTCTTCATTTGTCTTAGTGTGACCTGTCCTTCTTGGATATGTCCATGTTTTTATCTGCTATTCATTTATGGAATAAGGACTTGCATGCTTTGGAACTATCTTGTGGCCCTTTTTCGCCCACTCTTTTTGAAATTGCTGCTATTACCGGGCTAAAACCCATAGGAGAAAAATATTTTAAAGGTGCTTTTTCTTCGGACAATTCCTTAAGGTCCAAAATCAATTGGGAATCGAAAGCCTATGGGCATTTTCTCGAGAAACATTTCATTGATGACTCAATAGTGGTGCATTTTCGATGAAGAGCACGTGGCCTTCTTGGTATACTTGGTTATGCACCCACGTCTTCTGCCCCCGATCCATCCAAATTACATCCCACCTCTATAACCTCGCCTATATTCTCCACACTGGCCAACCACAAATTAATTTAGCCAAGTTATTATTGGCCCATTTTTATACTGCTTTCGATGAGGCCGTCGATATTTTGAACGCCCCTAGGGCCTCGGGGAATTTTTTAGGTCCTATTTTGTTTATTCAATTATGGCTCACCTCGATTTTTGAAAGTACCCTCCCCCCAACCTTACAAGGAAATCAGTAAAAGAAAGCAGTACAAAAGAGAGAATAGAGAAAGGAACCTCCGAAGCGAGCTTTCTATTAACTCTTCAAACTTGAGGATGTTTTTTGACAATCCTCTCGCTCTACAAGCACGCTCCTCACCAACAAAAGAGAAAATACCTCCCCACCGAGTGTCGAATGTCACACAAGAAGACTTCCTTAACCGATTTCTACTTTAAACTAAAATCGGAAAGCTTACTCGAACTCTAGAAAGTGTTCAGAGTTATCCCGAAGTCTTACGAGAGCTTCTAGGATGAGAGAAAGGTGTGAGAGTGTGTGAAATGAGGGGAGGGGAGGCTCCTATTTATAGGTAATCACACCGAGACAAGTCGGGATGACCGTCCGGACTTCGATAGTTGGGACGACCATCGGGATTTTGAGACGGTCGTCTTGGGCTCAAAGAAAAGTGGGACGGTCGTCCGGAAAAGTGGGACAATCGTCCCAAAGGTTAAAGAAGTGGGACGACCGTCTGGGATTTCGAGATGGTCATCTCGGACTTAAGGAAAAATGGGACGCCCGTCTGGGAAAGTGGGACGACTGTCCTGAGCCTCTGACAGAATTTCCTTTATTTTTTCTTATTTTTTGCGTACAGAAAGTCCTCCTATCCTTACCTAAAGCCTAGTGAACATGACTAAGGGCCCAATGAAGCCTTGTCCATCTTCGAATAAAGGATTTGTGGCTTTATTATGAAGCCGAGCAAAATTTGGGGTCTACAACTGTCCCCCTTTTACCCGACCAATTGACTATGGGCTAATGTGCCGTAAGATCGATTGGCGAGTGAAGGAGTTAACCCTCTTGCCCGGTTGTCTTTCAGATGATCCTCTTGACGTGGTAGCCAACCCTGTGGACGATGAATGCAATCTGATGTTGTCTTCATGATGCTTCCTTGCTACTAAAGATGACCCTTCAAACGTAGGTATGTAAATACTATCTTCAGGATGCTCCCTTGTTATGGGGGCTGACCCTTCAGACGATGGTATGTAAGTCCTGCCATCAGGATACTCCTTTGCTGCGGAGCTGATCCTATTGATGGTGGATATGAAGATATTGTCTTAGGGATACTCTTTTGCAACGGAGTTGATCCTTCGGACGATGTATGTAAGTCCTGCTATCAGGATACCCCTTTGTTGCGGAGCTGATCCTTCTGACGGTGGATGTGAAGATATTGTCTTCAGGATACTCCTTTGTAACGGAGCTGATCCTTCGGATGATGTATGTAGTTTGATGGGTATGAACCCCCCATCGGGTATGAGTCTTCTTTGAAAGGCTCTACCTTTGGATGCTCCTTCGACGAGGTGGTCGACCCTTCGATCGATGTATACAAAACTCGTCTTCTGGATGCCCCCTTTAGACAAAGAAAGTGGTGGCGGCTCTTCGCTCTTGCTCATGCGCCGACTCCATGGGGAGTAGTTTTAGTGCTTTGAGGTATTGTGTTTTGGCTTTTACGTGGTCATCCGGTGTACCAGGGATTTTGGTTTTTGGCTTTTTTTTATAGTCATCCAACTTATTGGTTTGCTTGGAGATTCTTTTTGTCCTTTCTAATAGTCGTCCGACTTTGTTGGTTGTCAAGGATTCTTGATAATTGCCTCTAATGTAGGCGGGGATCCATTGGAGATTCGTTGATTTTGGCGATGCCTCTTGAGTAGGCGAGATATCCATTGAGGATTTGTTGATTTTGATGGTGCCTATGAGTAGGTAGATAGTTCATTGAGGTTTTGGTAATGCCTCCGAGTAGGTATATGCTTCATTGGAAATGAAGACTTTTGGCTGTATTGTTTTGCCTCGACTAGGATGATATTCCCTTCGGGGATGTTGGCTCTCGCTTTCCAGGTTTTGCCTATGCATAAGCAAGTGACTCTCTGAGGATATGAATTTGAAGATTGCCTTTGCAGTAGGCTCACTAGGGGTAAGTTTTCTCTTTTTGACGATCCACCAAGGGATTGATTACCTTCCTAGGGATCTAATGTTGATTTGCCCCCTGGGAGGATAGAGTTTTTTTACTCCTTGTTTGTTTTTTGTATGAGCGGACTTTGTCGATGCTCTTATTCCGCTGGAAATTTTGTTTACCTAAATATTAAGATTTTTATTTGATTTCACCTTTTTCTCGCGATTTTATTTCTTTTTTCTCGCGAATTTGAAATTTGGCTTCTTTTTGGGTAATGTGTGTGCCTTTCTACTTTTTAATTTCTTTTTATGCATGCAGGCTTCTTTCTTCTTTTTGGGTATCCGCTAGGGATGAAGTTTTTTCTTTTTGGTGATACACCAGGGAATTAGTTGATTTCCTAGGGATCTGACTTTGATTTTTTTCTTTTCTAGGGATGGAGTCTTGGCTCCTTAATTAATGTTGATGTGAGTTGACCTTGTGAAGCTCTTATTCCACTAGGGGATGGAAATTTCTTATTCCTTCTTTTTGTAGATTTTTCTGGTAT